AGAAATAATAATAAAATAAAATTTCTAGTTGCTGAAGAAGTCCCAATAAAGGGACGAAACGTCCAACTAAATCAAACTAAGTTCTACTTCTTTCATGTCCAAGTTCCCTGTTAAATTTCATCATTAAAAATTGTAATTTTTGGACGAGAGAAATACTAAATAAATTATATATATATATAGTATATAATTTATTGTTGTTACGTTGTTATTGATAATACAACTGATTGAACAGTTGTATACATAAAGAAAATACCTCGTAGGAAAATAAATGCCATCACGTATTGTGTCCGCAGTATAAAGATTATATCGCAATACGATAATATCGATCGATAGATCGAAATTTCTTAGAAATAGGACTATAAAACGTAGAAGGTGAGTCAGGACAGTTTTCTGTTGAAACATCATTATGAAATTTTGTATAATACCATTTTTCGTTAAACTAATACTACCTAAACCATTCGCGTAAATTAAAAAGAACAAGAACAACAACAATAACAACTAAAAAATGACAAAAAAAAAAAATTATGTAAAATAATATAGTGTCATAATTAAAAAAATATAAAAGAAGAAAAATTGAAGAACCTATCATCGGACAAGGACGAACGAAAAGAACGAAGTAAAGTCAAAGTAAATTAGTAAAATACGATTGAAAGTGTAAAGGTAATATAGAAAAGAAGGGAGGGTTGTAATGAGGAGTTAGGGTTAAGGTGGGGGGTTTAGGGTGGGTGGATGGGGGTAGCGGTCAGTAGCGTCGGGACGCTCGACGTCCGTGCGTTCGGCGCCATGAAACAGTCATAGTCGTGCGTACGGTCTTGTTACTTGTCAGGATTATCTGACCTCCGTTTTAAAAGTATCAACCCCTTTTTCTATTGCGTACTCTTTTTCTCTTTCTAATTTCCTTAAGGATAAAAAAAGATATATCATTTGCATTTAACCGGTGTCACGGGTACTCAACGGTGGTGGTCATTTCTTCTTTCTTTCTTTTTCTTTTTTGTTCTCATTAAAAATTCATAGACCTCGCGGTTAGATTTTTTAAGTTAATACTAACAATTTGTTTCTTTTTTTATTTTTACTCATTGGAAAAAAATATAATATCACAGGATAGATATTATTGAATGGAATATTTGTATTACGTGAAAATTGTTCGATTAAAACACCCTTACGAGATCTACGAGATCTTTATAATTTTTCCATTCTCATATAATCATATTAGTAATCAAATTTTTTCAAATGATTTCATTATCTTCTGATATATTTTTATGAAATAATATATTTATCAATCATAAGATTTGTAATATGAAAATAAAAAAGAATAATGTAGAATGGAAATAATTTATCGTTAACATGACGTTCGTTCGTACGCTTGTTGCATGCCATCGTACACTGATATACACATACATATATAGCATATGCATATATATTACTTTAATCATTTCTATAGAATGGACGATAAAGTATATTATACCGGTGATAATGTTATAAAACAAAATAAAAAAAGAAACAAAATTGTAACATAAGACAGAATGAGGTGTAATAAAAATGATAAAAATATAATAATAATAACAATAATAACAACAACGTGGATCGATAAATGAATAATGATATTTAAATATTGTTGCGTGTGGTCTAATGAGACCAAAGAGGATAATAAATTAAACGAGGGTAATATTAATAGTGATAATAATGAATATAATTTCGCTGGTACCGTTCTCCGTTGTTGCCCTTGCGTTTTTCGCTGTAGAAGATCGATCGGTATTGGTGGTAACGATGATAACGATAATGGATCTATATCAACGATCATTACTAATCCTAATGTTACACCGGTGATAGCAGTGAGATTGCATAGAAGTACCGATTCAATGTAGGTTTATTTCTAATTTATAATAGGATCATTTGTTTTCATTGTTTTAGGTGTTATCTTGTATTTATATCTACGATCAATATACTCGAATCAATATATTCAAACATATATTATATAATATATGAAAAATATTAGCAAAACCTATTACGAGATTCTTTCTTTTCCTTATATAGGTGTTTCGTGGAATCAATATACATGCATCAATAATTATATTCTGTTCGATCAATTTTCAGAGATAAAGCACCTGTGAACGAAGAAATATACAACGATGGACAAAACAAGGATTATTATTTATCAGAAAATAATGTTTATCCTAGACATGTTTTAAACAACGAAGAAATAATTCACAAAGGTATATATATATATATGTATATGTATGTATGTATACTATTAGATTAATAGTAATTTAATGTAAATACGATAACGATCGATACGAAAGATACAATTAACTGTAAAATCAGCTTAGACGATCGAATGTACGACGAACTGGAGCAGAAGGTTCTTAACCTCTTATATATATATATATGTGTGTTTGTATATACATATACTCATACACATTCACAAACATATATATTCTACGTAGTTTACCGTCCAAGCTGAGTTTACAGGCTCGAAGTAATCAATATTTTGCTGGTCAAGTCTAAACTTGGATCGAATATATCGTCACTTTAATAAACTAATAAAAATAATTATCTAATATTAATCAATTAGTTGTAACAATCTTATGGAAAAGTATGTAATCAAATTTGTATCGTCAAAATGAAACGATGACGAAGTATATTCGTCAATCACAACTAATTGATTAATATATAAAAACACGAGGATACGTATTTGTATAGTTACATAACTTGTATATATATATATATATATTAGGGTGAATCAAAAAAAAAACTTTTATTTTTTTTTGGATCTGACACACAAAAACTTGTTGCTAGGCACCTTTAGAAAGTACTCACCCAGTATGGGCTCTTAATTTTAATAGGAAGATCCTCCTCATCGCGGTTTTTTATTTTTTTCTCAGTCCAACAGAAAAAAATT